GCGGGCATCATGTGGCTGCCTCTGAAGGCCTCATTGCAAGGCAAAGCCTGAGATGGATGCCGCTCGCCGTATATATATTGTTATTTCGATTCAGGTTTTTATATCAATATTTTGGCAAATATATTGATTGAGTGTGATAATAAGAAATTTTGCTACTGCACTGTAGGTGAATTTTGTTGCCCACCTTCTGTTACTGCGTTACGGTGATATTTTTGCGGCTATTTTACTTTTATCCGCTATTCTCCATTGTTTCTTAGGCTCTGTGTCTATTTTAGACGGTTGATTGTACTGCTGCTTTAGCTAAGCCTGCTTCTCTTTTGGGGACTTAAAAGGCAGCGTTATTACGGGAGACTGAAAATCAACAATTGTGGCACAAACCTCATGGACGAGATCAGACGGTCCAACGCAATCCTCTTGCAAGGAATTTTGAGCGGATCGCGAGCCACGAGCGGTTGTGAACCTGAGCAAAGGAGAGCAAAGGAAAGATCATTCGAATGCCAGTAAATCGGATAAAAACGCCGTTGTCAGTTTGTCCAGGAGTAACGTCAAGCTGGCTGGCCGAACTACCTCCTCGTGGTGCCAGCTGGGTGGTTCGGGTGTACCCCGTTCCAGCAAAGTGTTCGGCGACAATGTTCCACCTCGGTGGGACATTGTATTCCAGCAGGTGTGCTGACTATATGGAGAGTATTGGGCCCCTGTTTGGTAATCTATCAAACAAAGACGCATGAACTGAACATTCAGTCAACGCCTCCCAATGAGCGCGATTCCCTAAATTCGCCCCGCTGCCTTGCGGGTTGGTTATTTAGCCAAAGGCTCGGGGTGGAGTCCCCTAAGTCAACTCCCTACTTCGGCTTGGGCAACCGGGTAGTATCACGCCCTCTCGCAAAACCATGGACTGTATTACAACTTACTCATCAGCTGCTGTTTCTGCTAGTCACTTTTACGCGACTTCATCACACGCCAATTGTTTGTTTGTTAACAATCCTCACTTTCTATCACCCGATTCATCTGCTCAACAATCTGGCTGCGATTCCGGTTGCTCCGCAGACCAAGAGGTTCAACCCATGGCTCTCCTTCGTCCCCGATCCTCGTTCCGTCTGGCGTGCTTCAACGTTCGGACACTCATGCAGATTGGACAGCAAGCCGGTCTAGCGCGCACTCTAAATTCCCTAGACATTGATGTCCGCTGCCTTTCAGAAACCCGATTGCAAGATCCCAGCACTGTGCTTACACTGACATTTCCCACTGACGACGAAGCCAGATATCACCTGCGTCTTTCTGGAGATCCAGAAGCAGCCTCAGCGGGTCTGGCTGGTGTAGGTGTAGCACTAAGTGACAAGGCCGAGGCGGCACTACTGAACTGGTTCCCTATTAACAGCCGATTATGTGCAGTTCGGCTTCGGGGTTCGTGTAGAATCAACAGGCACTGCGAAGAGAGACACAACTTGTGTGTGATCTCTGTGTACGCTCCAACTGACTGCAGCGGCGCCTCGGTCAAGGACGAATTCTATCGGGATCTACAACAACTCTTGACTAATGCTAAAAAGTCGGATGTCATTATCCTTTCTGGGGATTTTAATGCACGGGTTGGCCGCCTGTTACCATACGAACGCCACCTTGGTGGTCATCACGCGCTCGATGAGAACCGCTCTGATAACGGAGAGAGACTTCTCACATTGTGCGAAGACAACCGTCTGTTTCTTTCGAGCACTAACTTCAGGCGTACGAAGAAGCGTTCCGCAACGTGGCGTCCCCCTTCTTCAACACAACCGTGGTCTCAAACTGATCACATTGCAATTAGCTTTAGATGGCGCGGCAGCGTACTAGACTGTAGGTCCTTTTGGTCCACATTCGTTGACTCAGATCATGCTCTGGTCTGCGCGAAAATCTTTATGTGTTTTGGAGGATCCCGAAACACGAAGCACCGCAAGATTGATGTAAACAGATTAACTGATTCCTCTGTCCAGGCGAGCTATCAGTCTTCATTGGCGTATGCACTCAGTTGCAATCCACCGCAAGAAGTGGAACAACACTGGACTTGTATACGGAAGGCATTGACCATTTCCGGACAGTCATGCTGCGGCCTAACTCGACGCCCATTGAAGGCTTGGATCTCTGCTCGTTCTCTGGAGCTGTTCGAACGCCGCAAAGATATACCCGCGGAATCAGGTTGCAACGAGCGGCGCCGTTCTGCCAACCGGCTGCTCAAGCAAAGCCTACGCAAGGATCGCGAGACGTGGTGGTCTGAACGTGCTTTAGAGATGGAGACCGCTGCCCTCTCTGGCAACACTCGCAGGCTTTTCCAACTCATTCGGTCCACTGGCCTCAGGAAACCTGGTGTCAGTGAGGTCATTTGTGAGGTGGATGAGTCTCCGATCACCAACCAACAGAGGCGTATGGACCGTTGGGCCGAGCACTTTCACTCGCAGTTCAACTGGCCTCCACCATCCATCAGTACATGCAGTACACGTTGTTGTCCACCCTGGCTCGTCCCTCTGAATCCACCCAGCGAAGCGGAAGTCGGCCTTGAGATTCGACGCTTGCAGCGCTTCAAGGCTGCCGGCTTAGACGGACTTCCTCCTGAACTATTCAAGTACGGCGGTGTGGCGATCATTAATCAGCTGACCGCGCTGTTCGCAAAAATTTGGCTTGAAGAGAAAGTGCCTTCCCCTTGGGGCGAATCAGTCATTATCCCGATTTTCAAGAAAGGCGCTCGCACTTCATGTGCAAATCATCGCGGGATTAGTCTTATTTCGGTTGCCTCTAAACTATTGGCATCCATACTGCTTCGCAGGCTATCCCCAGTACGTAAATCATACTACCGTGAAGAACAAGCTGGTTTCCGTCCTGGCCGCGGATGCGTGGATCAAATCTTCACGCTCCGCCAGCTCCTCGAACATCGCCACATTTATCACAGGCCAACTATCATTGCATTTCTTGACATACGTGCCGCTTTTGACTCCGTTGATCGTCCTGCTTTATGGCGTTGCTTACTAAAGAACGGGGTGCCAGAGAAATATACCACCATCTTACGAGCACTTTACCTTCATACATGCGGCAGAGTGAGGGTCTATGGCAAGCTTTCCTCGCAATTCACTGTCAATAGCGGTGTGCGACAGGGCTGCCCTATGTCCCCATTCCTCTTCAACTTCGCAATCGAAGACGTTCTGTCGAATGCTCTAGAAAGTTTCCAACATTTTGGCCTAGAGCTTCTACCGGGTGAGCGCGCGACCGACTTAGATTATGCTGATGATATCGCCTTACTTGGTGACGATCCTCAGAGTATGCAACTCATTCTGGATCGTTTGGCGGTTGAAGCATCTAAGTATGGCATGAGCTTCGCCCCATCGAAGTGTAAATTACTGCTCAAAGATTGGCATTTGCCTGCTCCCGTACTCACTCTCGATGGTGCACAACTTGAACAGGTAGATAGTTTCGTCTACCTTGGGAGCTGTATTTCTGCTGATGGCACTATCAACAAAGAAGTTTCTCTTCGTATCGCTAAAGCTCGATCAGCATTTGTCAGTTTGAGGCACTTGTGGCGTCGTCGCGACGTCTCATTCTCACTAAAGGGCCGAGTTTACAGTGCATCAGTTCGCTCAATATTGTTGTATGGGTGCGAGTCCTGGCCGCTTCGAGTGGAAGACATGCGTCGTCTTTCTGCGTTCGATAACGGTTGCTTAAGGAGGATCGCGCGTGTTTGGTGGCAACATCGAGTTAATAGTAATGAGGTTCGACGTCGCATCTTGGGGAATGCGAGTATTCCCTTCAACAAACTGGTTTTGTTGCGCCAGTTGAGATGGCTCGGTCACGTTCTACGCATGGCACCTGGGCGTCTACCGCGTCGCGCTCTATTCGCTCGTCAAGGACCTGGCTGGAGGCGACCGCGTGGTGGTCAGCCTTCCACTTGGCGACAGCACATGAAATCGCTGACGTCGTGTCTAGCCGCTGTTGGATCCGTAGGTCTTCCGGGATGGGGACCCAAATATGAGGAGTGCCAATGGCTTAGCACTCTTGAAGAAATGGCCCGCAACCGGAATCAGTGGAAGAATTGTGTACATTATTGTATTGATTCACATGTTTAATTCTACAAACATTAAAAGGACAAAAAAAGAACAAAAGCGGCGTGTGAAAAACAAACTAAAAATGTTTTGTTCTGCTTTTTATCAAACTGTTCCATTCTTCCTGTGGCATATTAGTTGAAGTGTGTTGCTCACCTTCAACTAGCATGCCACGATGATTATGACGCTTTGAATCTTGTTTATCTCCTTATCTCCATGGTTTTAGGCTGGCTCTGTCTAGCTAATAGACTGTTGAGTACACACACACACACACACACACACACACACACACACACACACACACACACACACACACACAACGTCAAGCATTGTAGTAAAACCAACAGCAAGCAAATCAAGAGCCTTATAACAAATCCATGTTGGTCAGAGCGTAAATTACGGAAGCAGATGCAGCGTTAAGCAGGCAGGAAAGTCATCGTGGCGAACACGCATGAATGTGACGAACAGTCAGTTGCCATGTGTGGTGCGCTGTGGAAAGGACACACGACATATCTATGTGCGGGTGCGTGAGAGTCTTCTTAAGTGTTAGGGCGAGTAGTAATTGTCGTACCTTCTTACTGCTTCGTTCTCGCTACAACGTAACCCGTTTCATCAGTTTTTTGTGGTCGTATGAATAAGTAGTATACCAGTCACGGTTAGCGCCAAATTGCGGCTCTAATCCATCAAACAATGTCACTTGTTCAATTTCCACTTAGCTCTCAAACCACCTTAAATCATGCATCTCCACACTGCCGACAGTTTCTCATGATGTTACTCGTCACCCGTAAAGTAGGCGATTTGTTCAAAGGTGGACTTGGAGATTTCTTATATACAACCCACGTCACGTGACGCGCTTGTGTACCCTCTTTGAACCACTGGCTGTCAATCGATTCGCCGAGACGCATCGTATAGGAAAGAGTCTGTGAGTAACCGTTACACATGGTGGAATACGCAAGATTACTCATCGACGAAGCTCTCAAAGAGTCGGGATGGAAGAGCAACTTTGCATTCCCAGTAGCCTCCGAGGAAAACAAGTATTTAATCGACTTGGTGAGTTTAACTCATGAAATTACATGGATGCGATCTCAGGCTTGTGATGTTTGACGTAGCCGCAGTTCACCAGACTAGCTCAGAAGATTTTGTTCGATAGTGTACATAGAGGAAATTCTTTCCGCTCTCAGTAGTTAGTCGGTCGGTGGCCAAAGCATTGCATGCCTGGCTTGCAATCCTTGGGTCACCGGTTCTTATCAGTAGTAGCGGGTGTCCTGGTGGTATGCTCAGCCCGCGCGCGACCAGCGGTGTTCGTGTGGCAACGAAGCGTCCGTACAGCGTGCCGGCGCACTGCTGATGGCTGATGACCCACATGTCCATCCGCGCTCCCAATGACGTGCTATACAACCAGATACATATAAATTAATCCAGCAACGTGATCAAAACATGTCCTTCTTTTCTAAACAGTTAAGAAAATGTACACGGATATGTCGAATCGCATTACGACATCCCACAACGCTGATATCGCTGGCTGCTGATCCGGTAATGCGTACAAGGAACTGTAACCTTCATTCCATCTGCGTCATGAGTTGCTGGGGATCCCCGGCCAGAAGTTCCTAATAGTGTATTATCATCTCAAGCTTCACTCTGGCCGAGTGGTCTGCCCGCCTGGTTTGCGACCATAAGGTCACCGGTTCGAATCCGCGAAGGGGTGGGCGTTCTCGCGGTATACGCAACCTGTGCGCGACTGGTGGTGGTCGCGTGGCAGCGAAGCTCCGTTACACCGTACAGCCGGCGATTTACTTTTCTGTAATTTTTATTTCACTTTGGCCTTCACCATCTGCCAACCATTCTCGATAGGATTGAGGAACGGGGAGTATGGTCTCAATCTCATAATGGTTCTTCCAGTCGTGTGTGACATGGTGCATTATCGCATATCATGACAATCTGACGGGACTCCATCTCCCGCTTCAGATTGTCTAAATAGCTTCGCAGTCATTCGAGTGATAGGGGGCCAGTAGCCGAGTGGTCCTCGACACTTTCCGTTCCATTGTGAGTGCACCGATTGAGGTCTCTAATTTTGGCAACGTTGTAGCAGGCCCCCCACTCCTCTGGGCGCCCGATCATGAGTACGTTTGCAGTAAACGCTGAACTTCGTTTCCTCAATCCAAATGAAGAACTTGCCATTGTTGTCGAGTTTAAGAAAGTGTTAAAGAAATCCCTGCGTATCCCTTTGGTTCGGGAATTTGATAATTGTTCTTCATAATTATCAAACGACCATCCGGGTGCCGTGCTATTGCCGGCTTTGAAATGTTCTTGTCCATTTCCGCCTTTACTTCTACCACGTTTCCCGTAATGTGAGTTGAGTCGTTTGTGATCCAATCAGACGGAATCCGCTAAAGATGTCGTACCTGCATAATACTTTGCTTCTGAGCAAGAGGACGACGAGTCCAGGAGTATGCTGTTTTCTTATGTACCATTGTTCACAGTTGCCACGAGCTACCAGTTATCACCATTGACAAAGGCACCCACAACTCGGTCACGAATGTCTGATGATATAGTCTGTCGAACGCGAGAAGGCATGCCGACGACGCTGGAATCATAGACATCGATTCGGCCGTACGCTTACGTTCCAGTGTTTCATTGCTCTCAGGCCAATTGTGATCCAGCGTTTCGGACGTGAAGAGGCGCATGCAAGCTCGTTGCACCGCCGATGTTCATGATCCAAGATTCATTCACAGGCCTCACTCAGCCACTCACTTGACTTGACTGACGCACCAAACCTTAGCGTCCGGCCATTGAGAACACACTTGAGGTCAGCGGATTGGCTCAGGAGGACTGGTAAATCGCACAGGGTTTTGCAACCTTGCTGAACTTCCTTTGCAAAGTTTTAGACTTTTTATGCAACTTTAGGAAATGCTATAGTTAGTCGGGGACGCGTGTATCAGATGTGATGTTGCGCCGACTAGTCGATCACCAATGACATTTGGGCGGGGCGAAGAACTCATTTGTGTCAGATCCAGGGGTCCCGCCCTTTCCTCTTTCCTCGTCTTTTGTATTTACCGCATAGGTCTGTACAATACTTTCGTCGACTAGCTTGATGCTTCTTCACCGCAGTTGGGCTAAACCAACTTACACTTAAACTAGGTCTTTTTACGCTGGATACATTTCATTCCACTTTATTTGGTTTGTTCTGCCTACCTGGATAATCTATTAACTGACCACGTTGCTTACGCTAATTGCGCTTATCTCCGGTAATTTCGTTGCGTTTGTAGCATTTTCAAGTAACCTGTGGACATTTCTTACTTATCGCGGATTCGTTGCTAACCAACTTACTTCATATGATAATTTAGGGAAGAGTTATGCCACCGTATCTGTATGCATTATTGGATTTATTTTATTTCATCTTGTCGTTTAAAGTGAATGGCTGTTGCTTGATATCCCCGGTGTGGCTGCCCTTGATGTGCATTTTGACAAGGTGCCTACCTGTCTATTACCCACTACCTAGTCCATACTGCCTATAGGAGACAGTTTGTCGTTGCTGGAGGGGACGGGGTGCACGGTCCTTGGGGCTTGTTAGGAGCAAAGAGTGGTTCCATGCAGCCATTGTGGAGCGGACTACGGTCCAGCCATCGCCTTGTATGCGCTTGATTCCCAAACTACAGTGTGCTTGTGTTTGCCTGTGAAGGAGTGTGGGCCGGCTCCGTTGATGAAACGTGGGTCCCATCCGCATGCCTCCGGTCTTATTCCTTCGGGTTTACTCTTTCATCGGCTAACTGCATATATATATATATATATATATATATATATATATATTTATTCACAGTCTGTTAACAGACATTGTGCCATCAGAACCATGGCAGAAGAAAATGGTGAAGAAGATGGGGACACTAATGCGATTAAAAAATATGGGAAACGAATTTTTATGGTTTTCCACACGCCATTTTGTTTTTTTGTTTTGTTTTGTTTTGTGAGCTTTTGTGTGTATCAAAGGGATGGTGAAATTGTGGAACAACATTGCCGCCACTGATGTCTGTTGCGGGCCATGACGTCCAATGTTTCCAACCACTGCAATTCAGCATCTCGTGGTCCCCAACCTGGAAGGCGGACTGGTCCGACTGCTGCCAAACTTGTGGTCGCCTTCTTCATACTCCTTCTCCACGTCATCGGTTGTCCACCGCGGCACCTTTTCCAATCGCTCCCTGGGAGTGCAAACAGCGCGTGACGTGGAAGGCGATGGGCTAGCATGCGCAGAACATGCCCGAGCCAGCGCATGCGATGTCAGAGAATAACGTCTCGAAGACTGGCACTATTCGCCCCAAGCACGCGGTCTCTCACCTCTGCGTTGCTTACGTGGTGTTGCCACCACACCCTAGCAATCCTTCGTAGACAGCCATTATCAAAGACTGATAGTCGCTTCATATCTTCCGAGCGAATAGGCCAAGTCTCACAGCCGTACAAGAGTACTGCACGGACGGAAGCATTGTACACCCTGCCCTTGAGCTTGAGACTGACATCACGACGACGCCATAGATGTCTCAGTTTGATGAATGCAAGGCGGGCCTTTGCAATCCGTTGTGAGACTTCATCTCCAACACCGCCACCAGCCGTGATGCAACTCCCTAGGTAAGTGAAGCAAGGGACTTGCTCCAGAACATGTCCAGCAATGGTGAGCGCGGGTTCAGGCACCTGCCAATCCTGGAGCAGCGTTTTACATTTTCCCGGAGTGAAGCACAGGCCGTACTTAGACGCCTCCATCGCCAAGCGGTCCAGAGCGTTCTGGACGGATTGTGGGTCGTCCCCCAGCAAGGCGATATCATCGGCGTAGTCTAAGTCCGTGAGTCTGTCTCCAGGGAGAAGCTCAACACCGCAGTCCTGGACACCTTCCAGTGCTCTTTGGAGAACATCTTCGATGGCGAAATTGAAGAGGAAAGGTGAAATAGGGCAACCTTGGCGAACACCGCTGGTCACAGTGAATGAAGAGGAGTGCGTGCCGTAAGCCCTAACTTTGCCCGACGTGTGACTGTAAAGTACTTTCAGGATGGTTACAAACTTGTCTGGCACACCTTTCTTCAGTAAACAGTTCCACAACGCAGATCTATCTACTGAATCAAATGCCGCTCGGATGTCCAAAAACACTACCATTGTTGGCCGCCGGTGGATGTGAAGAAGTTCGAGAACTTGCCGAAGCGTGAAGATTTGGTCGATGCAGCCACGGCCTGGACGAAATCCAGCTTGTTCTTCTCGGGAAAACTCCTCTCTAGTCGTTGAAAGCCTGCCAAGTAGGACCGACACGAAGATTTTGGATGCGACAGAGATTAGGGAGATTCCGCGGTAGTTGCAGCAATCGTCGCGGGAACCCTTCTTGTGAATCGGGACAATGACCGATTCTCCCCGTGAGCTCGGAACCTTCTCCTCAGTCCAAACTTTCGTGAACAGCGATAGGATTTCGCTGATACGTACACTCCCACCATCTTTGAATAGAGCTGGTGGTAGGTTGTCCGGACCCGAAGCTTTGTGGCGTTTCAAAGATTGGACTACATTTCGAATCTCTGCTTCATTTGGGGGGGGGGGCTGTGGAGACAGGCCAAGCATCATACATTGGGGCTGGAGGTGTCGCAGGGGACTGAGTTGGGTGGTTGAATTGAAGAGCGAAATGCTCTGACTAGCGACCCAATCGTCTGCGAAAGTTGGTGATCTTCGTGCCGTCTGCCTCGCAAATCGTCTGGCTGATAGCGTGGAAATTGCAACCAGTGGCCCTGATGATGTAAAACAAACGGCGGAAGTTGTCAGCTGATGCAGCGGCTTCCATCTCACCAGCTTGTTTTGACCACCAAGATTCATGATCAGAGCGGAGGCTTGCTTTCAGCTGTTGCGTAATAGACCGGCGGTGTTCGTTGTACTCTGCGCCAGCAGGCTCCGCCCGTCGACGATCCAGCAATTCTGATGATCTTCCCGAGATCCAGCATTTGGGAGTGGAGCGAGTGAGGCCACAGCTGGACAAACCGGACGACAACAAGGCTTGCTGGAGACTTGACCAGTGTTGATCAACATCCAGA